GGAAATAGGTAAGAAGGATATTTCTTTATAACATTGGCTGTGTCTTGCGCTCGCTTTTTCGTGGAAAAAATAAAAGTAACTGTTATGATATAAACAGTGGATTCTCTGCATAGTGTTCAACCTATTGAAAATGCATTTTGCTCGCTTGCATCTACGCTTGAAAAAAAAACATCTCTCCTTACTATATTGATGAATAAAAAAATGTCCAACAAAATAATATATATTTATATAAATATATATATATTTATATTATATATATTCATATTATGTAAAGCATTCTCTAAAAGTAACGAACCGTATTCCTCCTTAAAATAACAATCAACTTTGTGTTTTGTAAAAAAATTCTCCCCTGTCTTGTTCTGAAAACCTTGAAAATCAATGGAAATTGACTGACATAGTTTTAAAAACTCTCAAAATGTAAACATAACTCAAAACTTTCTTAATATATGTACATTTCTGTAATACTACATAATTCGAACATATTTTTGGAATAAGAGAAACTTTTTTGGTTTATTTTTATTTATTTTTTATTTTCTATACAGAAATTTTGATATTTATTTTACAATTTCTCAACTCAAGACTCTGTTCAGTGTTGCATTCTTGTTTCTCAAAACCCTTAATCACATGAATTATACTTGCTTGCGTATCGTCGCTTAGAAATGCATATATCATCCTTTTACGAAGTTATAAGAACAACCTACACTGTACTACTACATAGCACATCAACGCATACTGACACTTGGGAGAAATTATGCAAAAATCTTGTGTCACATTTTGTGCTCGCTTTTATCTCGTGTGGCTTTGTGTGCATGCGATTTGTGGAATTTTTGTAATGTGTTTGTGTTTATTTTACGAAATTTCAAGGGAAACTTAAATTATGCACTACATGCTGCTCCTGTTTCTTGTTGTTGCTTCTCCTTCTCCCTCTCTCACTTTTGTAAGAACGGTAGTGAAAGGAATGTTTGTATATATCTATATGAAATGAAATGCTTATGTGTTATGGGGAATGGCAGCAAACACTCCAAACTCATCTATGTGCAGAGATCTGTTTAAGTTTTGCTTTATTTTTTTGAAGAAGGGCAAAAGTTTATATGCTATCAGTGGCAATAGGATTTTTTTCAGTAAAGCATTTATCTTAATTAAGATAATGTTTGGGGATTAAGCTTGGAAATAAAAGAAAACGTGTAAATATATATATACACGGGATTTGTTTATTATGAATAAGGGACAAAAGAAAATTCAAGAAACTAGAACAAGAATTCTAAATAAATAACGAAGTATAAGGATGAAAAGAGTTCATAGAATAAACTGCCAAACCTGAACTTTACTGCTGTGTAAATATAAAAAGGAATTTGGAAATACTTTTACAGTTTATCGAAAAATTGTTCAGTTAATATTATTATAAATTCGTTTAGTATGAGTCAGCTTTTGGCAAAATCCATTTACTTCAATTTGTAGTTTAGTCAAATAACATTGAGGGGAAATACCATCGTTCGTTTGTTGACATAGTTTCACATGACTTCATCACGCATACGCATCATTTTGTCAAAACGTTTGCCCAGAAGAAGAATTCAAAGACCCCGCAAAATATATACATTATTGATCAGCATCAAATTGTGAAATGATCTAAGCATGTCTGCCCGTCCGTCTGTGTAATGTCTGTTGCAAACATACTCCTGGCCGCCAAAGTAGAGCCATCAACTCCAAGTTTGGCAGAAACTTTGGAAGTTCTTGCACGTAGACTGGTGTTGAAAAGAGGCCAAATCGGTCGAAGGCCACGCATACAGTATTACATAAACTGAGAAGACCTCTGCTTACCGGAAGCAAAAAGTTCTTTAGTCGTAGAACGATATTGCAGGGATTTTAAATACGCACATTCTTGCCGCGCCTGCAGAAATGTTCAAAACGAATAACGGGTTACGTGGGTTGCGAAAGGTAGCAAAAATATATTTTAACATTTTTTTGTTTTTTGCAGCGCAATAAAAGAATTATTTGATTAAAACTTTTAGTCATACAAAAAAGCGATACTTCAGCAATATTTTTCAAAAATTTTCGTTCAAAAATTTTCGTTCAAATATGTTAAAAAATTCAGTGTTTAAAATCTACTTTCCGAAGAAGTCGTACAAAAAAGTATCATCGCGGTCGCCATGATAGCTCGTGTGATAGGTTTATTTGAAATTAAAAAACTAAATGTAGTTAAATCCCTTTTTGTGCGAATTATTTTATACGATTGTTTCGTATGATATGTTTTGTACCTGAACAAGTGTCGAGAATTTGTTTCCCATATGCAAAGTTGCCTTGACGTTGCGTCAATCTCAATGGTGTTGTCATCATTGCCTGTCATCGTGTTTGTAGATATTGCTTAAGCGGATTTCAATACATATGGCATCCGAACAATTATTAGTTAATTATCAATTTTCGACATGCGTCTCCGACTAGCATAACAGATAAGCAACAGAAATAACAACTGAATAAGAAGATTGTATGACAGCGGATAAGATACATGCAGGAATTCAAATATTGGAAATACTTTTGGAAATACTTTTTTTAGAATAGATAACAGCTTCTAAAGGAATATGTAATTACAAATAGAACTTCGATTATATATATGTACCACCTAGGCCGATGTTTATCAGAATCAAACGCCCATCTTTGCAAAAACGTATTACAGGTTAGCAAAAGATAAATCGATTCTCATGTCTACAACTAACAAAAGCGATTTTGAACCGGTTCATCACAAAAATATACGACGAATAGTGTCAAATTATGCACGTTTTGAAAATTGCTTCACGCTTAAAACGAGAAATAAAGTTTTTAAAATGTGTTCAGGTGCAATTAATAATTATTTGTTTCCTTGATAAAGCACTTCCTCGTTATTCGTAAAGCTTTGGTATGTTTTCTAACCTTCAACACTTGTTCTATGCGGCTCCGCTCAACTGAATAAAAAAACTTTATTTCATATGTTACAACTGTTTATAAAGTTTCTGAATCTTTTTTTGTGCAGCCTCTATTTACCGGCTGACACTCAAATAGAGAGTCGAACATACTAAGCTGTATTTTCTGCTATAAGATGAGTACATATAGCGGTTGAGCGAAGCGTTAAAGGAAACTTGAAAATTTGAAATGAAAGAAACACTAAAACACAGGTCGACCTTAGAAGAGGGTAACAAAATTTAAATGATATCAATTTATTCATTTATTTTTGATAAATCCAACCCACCAACTTCAAAAATGCGGCTTTGAGAAAAAAGCGATTGTAACCGTCAAAAGCTCTCAGCTGTTTCAGTCAACCGAGCTTAATGACCTCAACTTACAAAGATTCTTCTTTCCGCGGTTTTACTTCGGTTGAAACTTTGCAATATGCTCTTGGCATGTCTTGTAGTATTAAAGAATAATCAAAAAAAAAACATAAAAAAAACTTGACTTTTTGCTTAGCGCAGGCAAACTTTACATGTGAAGCTTTAAACACATTTCTCTCGTAACCACGTTTCTTGAGCTTGTCCTACAGATATATTCTTCTTTTAAGTTTGCTGTTCTAAGTCGACAATCTCATAGGAATGATTATGTTAATGAACCTAAGCAGAACGATAAAAAAATAATTGAGGAGGAAATTTATTTTTTCGGTTGTGCTTCGCGATAATCATCTTGATTTCGGCAAACGGGCAGACTGCAAATGGACATATCTAAAATAATTCCGGTTTTCATGCTTATCAAAAATGTATGCTTGATAGACTTTGAACTTCTTGTTTCCGTCCTTTTCAAGCAGTCGACATAGTGTGCTGCAATGCGGCTGTAGTGACTAAAAAAGACTTCATAATATTCTCATAAAAGTATTGACAATCTCTCGAGACATTGATTGATATCGAATTCTAATCCGCTTACGGAAAGGTACAAGTGCACGACTATCACGTGGCCAAGACTTGCTTTAGGATTCCATTTTCGCGGCACTTACACTTTATGAACACAGCTCGCTATTGTTGCTATTACTCGTAAAATCTATTATAACAATAGTCGATTAAACAATTAAACCTATTTGTTAGTCTCTTGATGTATCTGTTTGTTGAAATTCGGATTAAAATTTTCAAACTTTTTTTTCGTAATATTCGTCTGCTTTGAAGTCAGCTATTCCGGCTCACATTTCTGACAGTAATTATCGAAGAGCCGGTCATTTCTTATCTAATATCTCGGAATTGAAGAGCTCAAGACATGACGGAAGGATTGCATAGTAATATTGTGCGATATGGATAAAGGTATTCTAATGCCTTTGTTTTATATTGACATGTAATGAATACTGCTTTCGCCATGCAATTAAATATAACGCATTTATTCAAAAGAAGTAGAGCGAAACCTCAATAGAAGCCGCTCAAAGTTTTCGAAAGAAACCTTGGATGACAACGCAAGCGCAAGCGTTAGCACACTTATATTCCTATTCTTTCAGTTCTATATTACATACACTTTTATTTATAAACATCTAAAATTAATTCATATACCGTTAAGAAACAAAAAAAAAATAAAAAACAAAATTTTAATAAAAATTTTCAAATTATTGTCTAATTAAATTTTCCCCCAAAACTATTTCCCTTTGAGGGTTGCAAGATTATGAAAAACAATCAACATTTCATCTGAAACAAAGCGAAAAAAGGACACGTGGGGGAGAAAAACTCCGTGTTTTAAGATTGTAAGCTTTATCAAAGTCAAAAAAAAAAAAATGAAAAAAAAAAATAAATAAAGACGTAAACAAAAGAGAAAATGAAAATTATACTCTTTTTGTTTTTTTGTGTCATCGTTGTTTACAATAGCACACTACGTTTTTTTAATGTTTCTATTGAAGACCAAAAGAAGGAGAGAAGAAGTAGCACACCTCTGTATAATTGTAATTCTGCACAGGAAGGGTAATTCTTGCTTTGAGAGAATTTTTATAATTATTATTATTTCTTTCAACAAAAGATTTCACAAAAAAAAAATATTTATTTATACATTTTTTTTTTCTCTTTTTTTAGATTCCGTGCGGTTAAACGAATACATATCTCATTATGAAACATTAAATTATGATCATCAGCATATTAGAGCTAGTCACCACAGAGCACGACGATCAGTGACCAAAGATCATTATGTACATTTAAAATTTCAAGCGCATGGAAGAGACTTCCATCTTAGATTAAAACGTGATCTATATACATTTAGTGATAAGTTAGAGGTAAGTACATAATTAAGTAAGAAGAACCTAAAGTTACTTTTGCTTGTCGGAGACCTCTTAATGGCAACGCAAGTCTTATGTATAACTTTCAAGCCATGTTGTGACTTTGAGCGAAGCACCAAGCAATTTGAGATTATTTCACTAACGGACGACAAGAGACCAACCCGTCGAATGGACAAACTGGAACTCGATGTCAAAATTTCTTTATTAATTTTGACCAGTTTGAATACTATGAAATTGGACCCAACTAATATCGAGAGATTTCTCGTACCCAGTTTATTATTATTGACTGCTTTTTCCAGCTAACACAATTGTCGCATAAACAAATAGACATTTATTTAAAACATTGATACATACGGTATTTAAAGTTTCCGTGCTTGGAAAAACAGTAACATCTACTGTAACGCCAGCTAATGAACTAAAGTATTCTGCAGATATACATCCGGATTGTAGCGTGTGCATACAAACCTCGATATTTGGTGAATAAAATCGAATAACAATACTATAGTAGTCCACGGCCCATTTATTATGTTCCCTACATCACCCTACAACTATACATTAAAGCGGTTTTCCAAATGAGGAGTAGTGGTCGAAAAAGTGATCAAATCCGTACCATCTTCAAAAGCATTCGTCCTTAAGCCAAAACACGTCAGTGTACCAAATTTCATTAAAATATCTCAAAAATTGCGACCTGTAGGTTGAACACTCTGGTGTTGAACAGAACGGACAAAGGGATTCAAAAGGTGATTTTGAATCAATCGGTATAAGAAAAGATGCTTCTCTCATCTCAACACTTTGCGGGTGTTCGTGCAGGGTATAATAAAACAACATATATTTCAGGTGGCAATGCCGTCTATAGTCTCACTATGGAGTTTTTAAATTACATACATAATTTTTAAAACGGCCTGACGCCTCTGAATATGATTGTTTCTCCGATTTCTTGATAGGTTGAGTGTTTCTTTCAATTCATGTTAAAAAATGCTCCGAAGCATTGATTTTAAAGATGCTTTGGAAAAATTCCCGTGTAAAAATGAACAGTTCTCTTCATTCCCTTCCAATTTATTTGCCGTAATGATGGACCCAAACTTCACTAATGATATATCTAAAAATTTATTTTTCAGGAGCCCTTAGACGATTAACGAATGAAATTTAATGAAACACTTAAGCAATTTGGAAACGTTTTCAAAGTTTCATCAATTGTATCAATTTAACCATCAATTGTGCATTAATGTAAATGTCTAAATGATACCTTATAAAAGACAACAATCTTATGAAAAAGTTGTTTCCGAAGTCGGTACGGTACCAACAAATATTTAAATTTAGTTAATAGAGCCGAGCCTAAGACTAAAGACTCAAGGACAAAAGTTTCTTCTTTGTGTCCATTTTTGACTTTGAAAATTACAAAATCACATACACACTTGAACAGTGCGACTTACAAAAGCTTTGCGATAAGTATATATATCTTATTAGCTGGATAAAATTTTTGCATGACCCTTTGATCTGTCAACTATTTGCATATTTTTTATACCTAATTTAATTAATTTAATAATTTCTTATTTCAGATAATTGATAACAATAATGGTCCTTTAGATGTGGCCACCGATCACATCTACGATGGGCAAGTGATAGGTGACCGTAATAGTTATGTATTCGGTTCCATATTGGATGGTGTATTTGAGGGTAAAATTATAACGGAACGTGATGCCTATTATGTGGAACATGCCAAACGTTATTTCCCACAGAATTTTACACAAGTCCAACATAAACCTCAATGGGAATCCATGGCATTGCATAGCAGCAACAGTAGCAGCACCAGTAGTAGTAATAGTAGTGGCAGCGGTACTGACAACATACAAGATGGTTTAAATAGTAATAATAAAGCAACAACAACCAACACGTCTTCAGCTTCTGCTACTAAAAAATCGATATCCGACCATCATGACGACGTTATTAAAACTATAGGTTTTCATTCGGTTATATATAAAGACGCACATGTCGATGATATGTATCAGCAAAAACGGGAGGAAGGTGAGTAAATTTGCAATTGTTAAAAAAAAAAAAAAAGAAAAGAAAATATATTTAGTTTATTTTAAATTTAATTTTTTCATTAGTTTTTTTCTCCCTTAAGGGTTAACTTTTATATCAAACTTCGAAATTTTAATTCATTTTTGATAAAAAATTTTTCTATTTCAACCCTTTAAAATTGCATAAAAATAAAGGCAAAAAAAAAAAAAAAAAAAAAAAATTAAAATTTATGTAAACAACTCTCAACTCCCCGTATAGTTCAAATAAAATCGACATAACAAGCAAGCAACTACCACCATCTCAGCATATTTACCACTACACACACACACACACACACAGATATCTTCATAAGAGTCAGGGGGCCATCATTTAGAGTAATATTACTTCAAGTGAGCTTTTTCACACACACACACACACACACACATGCACGCACGTTGACATTGTACAGCAAGACGTTATGAGAATACTGCATATGGAGTGAATGCACACACAACATAGCGCTTATGCATTCATGTAAAATGTAAAGTATATATAAAATTAAAATTGATATAATTGTTGCATATTAAATGTAAGCATGTGTACAAAGTGTGTGTTATATGCACCGACAGACAAAGTAACGATTACGTGAGCGTATGTGTTTGTTTGTGAATCATATGCATGCAACAGTCAACAACCCCAAAACATGCACAATTGCAATAACAATATCTAGCAACAACAGCAGCGCAAATGTTCTCTGACACAATCTAAAATGCATAATAAAGTAGTTGAACCTACCTACACACACATACATAACAAAAAAAAAAAAAGGAAAAAAAAGTACATAAATACATGCAAACACATTTCTCAATAACAAAAGAAACGAGAGTAAGAAGGGTTTTTAGTTAGTCATGTTCACATCACTACAAGGAATGGTAATATATTAAATTCGATGCACTGTTTGTTACGCGGGGAAAATGCCTCCCCCCAGCTACAGGGAGTTTTATTCACCTTCTTAATATTAATAAAGGTTTGAGAAAACAATTATTTTTAAAATATTTCATAAAAACTTTTTAATTTTTTGTGAAAAACAACATTAGCGTTGACGCTAACAACGTCGAATACGTGTACGAGGCGCTTTCTCTGTAAGTGGTGTAAGCCCTTTTTTTTGGCAAAAACTTACTTAATGATAACAATGAATGCAATGAATGCAATGAATGAATGAATGCTTCCAGTCCCTAAAGGAATAATGAAAGAAATCATCATTTTCTCAATGTACTTTTTGACAATATACATATATATACATATACACATATACACAGATAATGAATATAAAAATAAAATTAGGTTGAAAGTGATGTAAGAAATCTACGCTCCCTGAGGACATAATGTTTAGTTCAATTCTCGTAAAGGCATCAGAAGTATAAATAATCACATGCCTATTGCACATACATACATCAATATATTTCAACCAAATTTTAAATATCCCCATATAATAATTTAGAATGGACTTACACCACTCTCCAAGCGAATGGCTGATTCGTGAATATTTGATAGCGACGACGATGACAATAAAGACATAAAAAGTCCTTAAACTGTGGTCGTAGCTTAACAATTGCTTAGCAATTTTTTGTTGTTATTATAATCACCCATCGGATGATATAAGTGCACTAACTTTATCCCACCATTTTTATTGTCTAGCAATGCTAGCTGGAACACTTAAGTCTTTTTGGTTACTTTTTCATTTCTTTACAAGTTCTTCTTAATGCAAATGTATACAGAAATCCCTTGGATAGCAAGGACCAAAAATTAACACGTTTTTATTTTATAAAATTTTTATCTGTGGATCGTATCAGGTAGTCCTAATAACATATTAAAAGCTGTTAAGGGGACGTTTTTGTGATTTTGTATACATTTCTAAGGTCGCTTTACTTTTTTAATAACATGCAGGCGGGAAAAGCTCTTTAAAATCCTAGTGATAGTCAAAAATTTACTGCTCATGCGATTTTTGCTGTATATATATATCAAGCAAGCAGCAAAATAATTATTTCTCCAAAATATTTTTTTTTTTTTTCGTTGCACACAAATTACTTCACTTTTTTTCTTCAGCAAAATCCTGCGATCATATCTTCTACTAAAAAGGAGTAAAAAACCTATAACCGTCCTGAGTAGTCGAGTATGTGAAAAGAACGACTACAAAGTCAGTCGTCGCGGGTTCAAATCTGAAATGTGGTAAAATTTTCTTTGGTCTTTGGTAGTAGTCGGTAAAGGGATATTTGGGCTGTTTGGGCACACACCCGCCACCTTCTAATTTTTTTCTCTTTTCTCTCTTCTTTCTGACAGTTGCCGTATTACACGAACAGCGGACAATCACCTGACTGATTGATCATATCAAAAAACATGTATGTATATATATTCGCCTTACGGCATGTCCGTAATATGCTAAACATGCGTCGATCGGAGTTAACTTGATCTAGAAACTATTTGCTCTAGATTTTAAATTTCGTGTTTCTTATAGATAAAAGGTTTCAGTTCCTTCAATCTTAAATACAATCTTATAAATGGATTGTATCTGCATCACCCAAGTGTTGGAATTGTAATCGTTTTGTACAAGTTTTCAAATGAATATTTGCTTGAATTTAGTGTAAACAACTGAGACTTGCAAGTGACCTGTAAGTGCAACAGTGAGCGCTCCAGCAAGAGAAAGACGGATACGAAACGATTCACGGCCTTAATACAATCAGGAATTCTTTATAACGGATTTAACGCCCTTTTCCGAATGTCAGAGGTAGAAAACTGCACCCCCTATATCCTCAAATTCACTGGAATATCATTTCGTATAACTTTTGATTAGAGTGTCATGATATCGTCATTACTACTGGCTTTCTGAACCTAAGCGTTTGGTGACCAGGATTCGACCATGCTGTCGGTTAAAAAGTTTTCTTGTTTTCTTTTTATTAGTAAATTTACAATGAAAAAATTTCATGTAATGCATGCAACATTGTTGTTGTAGTTGTAGCTACTCTGATTACTTACATGTATGCTTATATAGAAGAAAGGAAAGAGAGAAAAGACAATGTCATTGAATTCGTAGCTATTTCTATTTTTCTCTTAAACATTTTTAACTTTTCCTTGTTTTTATGCAAAACAATTTTTATTTACTGTTGACTGGAGGAGCGAAAATGAATGCTTAGGCAATGCGAAGGAGAAGTTACACTCTTCCGTCATATTATTTGCAAAAAGTGTGGGTGCAATGTTTTGCCTGGGTATGGTTGTAGATAAATGAACACCAACTATAAGTGAAACACAATTGTTCCTAAGTAGGAAGAAAAGGAAAAAAGAGATACCATATACAAATAATTTTTTTTTTTTTTTTTTTATTGCTTTATATGTATATATAACTTTTTTTTTTTTATCTTAAAGCGGAATTATATGATATATATAATATTCTATATTAAATTATTTATTTCCTCTTTCTCTTGCTTTTCGCGTTTTGCAAGTTCTTTCAAAGTTTTTCTTACAAAAGAATAAGCAGAAGAAAAAAAAAAAAAAACTTTACAATTCTTAGTTAACTTTTTCCTTTATTAACAGAAAAACTTTACATAATTATAATACTTTGCACAAAAACATACTTATTACATTTGCCTGCCATGTAAACTCGTTTGTTTCACCTGTTAACATGTAAAAGCATCAAAGGGAGAGGCGTTGTTAATACAGTTTAGATCGAATCTTTTGATACCTAACAAGAAGTGACAAGTCGGTCAGGAAATTCTTAGTCTCTTCCTGTCTGTTTTATTGTTCGATGTGAATTTATAGGCAAACGAGTTTGAATTACAGAAAGCATGATAGCGACCATTGAAACGAGTGTCAGTAGCGAGTTGATTTTTTTTTTTTTTTTTTTTTTTTTGTGATTTATTATGCAGTGCTACTATGAGCCTAATAGTGGTCGAAACAAGCCTTCTTTTTAAATTCCATCTTACGATTTGAATTTATGCGACTAATGATTGGATCAAATCCAGTATGTAAGTATTGAGGTTACGCGTCGATCATAAACTTATCCAAGCCATATTTCTACATCCATCTCATTTGCAATTCAAACCTTACCAATTGGAAAATTCCACTTTTGAAAATCAGAGGTAGTCAATTTCAGTTCAAATTTGAATATCAAAATTTCTCAATTGAATGTAAAAATTTATCGAATAAAGTCCAAAACATCTGACTTGAAGCGCAGATAAGCGCTGAAAAAAAATCAAAAATTTAATATCATAAGCTGTCAATTAAAAAGTGACAAGTTGCTAGTTGAGAAATTCTCAATTCTCAATTAAGTGCGAAACTTTCCAATTTGAAGATCTAAGTTCGAGAACTGAAAATTATCGATTCACAACACAATTCCAGAATTCGAAAATTAGTTATCACAAATCATCAAATATGGAAGCGAGAAGTCGGCAATTGTTAACTGAAATTATAATTTTCTCAAATGAAAATCAGATAGAAATCGTCCGTTGAAAAATAGAATTCGAAACTTTAATGCCAGTAGTACGCGATGGCAAATGAAAAGCTCGCTAATCGAACAGCAGCAGAGCTTAAATATAGAAAATCAAAAGTCATCTTTCAAAGTTTAAACTAATGTTCGAAAACTGTAAATTGGAATTTGAAAAGCAGCGATCATCAATTTACGTCCTGAAGTCATCTGTTGAAAATCAAAAAAAATTCGAAAATGAAAAATCAAAGCTCGCCAATCAATTCGTCAATTGAACATAACACACTAAATGAAAAATTTGATCCGTCCTTACGTTCGATGAATGAATATAAGAAAAAGAAGATGTAACAAAATTACGAATATGTAGAGTGTAGAAAATCGTCATCGTAATAGCCGTCATCGTAGCTCCAACACGATTACTCAGCCAGCAACAAGAAGTTTATTAATGGCGTAAGGGTGCCACAAAACCTTAACTTTCAATAATTTAAACCTCCCGTATAGTGAGAAAGCAGAGTAATGCAATGCATTTAATCACTAACTTAAATGGAACCTACGTATGTGCATATAATGTAATGCACACACGTTTGCCACGCACCGTGGCTTCCC